CTTGTAGTTGAGATATTTTGTATCACCTATATTTCGCACAGACTGACTGAGCAGCATCACCTTCCTTATTTTCCTGCTTTTACCTGAGCAAAAATCAAGAAATAAAAGCATAGGTATTACTCTGCAGCTTTTTTAATTTTTTAGAAATATTAAGAAATGCGTCTTCATCCTGATATGCAGATTGAAGGCGGAGATTTTGGCAGAAACACAGAAGTGCAGAGTCAGTTGCACGTCAGTGGATAAGAAGAGGAAGAAAAGTTTAGTGAAGTAAAGTGAAGTGAAGTTTGCCTCTTCTTCCTTTTAATTATTTATTTGTTCAGGGCTGTTTCATTAAGTGCCCAGCTGGAGTGGTGTAAATGGGTTCTACGGAGTGACAAATCCTGCATCTCTGTCTGTAGTCTTATTGATGAGTCTGTGTTTGCTGAAATCCAGGAGAGCATTACCTGCCTGACTGCATTGTGCCAGTGTGCGTTAGTTCCACTGAAGGGAAATGTCTGCTTACCAAGACATTTTGGAAACTTCTGTGCTTCCAACAGTTTGGGGAAGGCCCTTTTCTGTTCCAGCATGACTGGACCCCAGTGCATTAAGCGAGGTCCATAAAGGCATGGTTGAGTGCGTGAGAGAGAGTGTGGTGCTGAAGAACTTGAGTGGTCTACACAGAACCCTGAACGCAACCCTACTGAACACCTTTTGGACTAGAACAGAGATTGCGATACAGGCCCTCTCGTCCAACATCAGTGTGTGACCTCACAAATGCTCTTGATAAACAGTCAAAAATTCCCCTAGAAAAACTGTAATCATCTTCCTGCTTCAATGATTCCACCTTAATCTTAATAGAACTAATAATGGGGTCCTAAGGTGTAAAATGAATGGGAGTGTCCCTCCCAAATGGACTTTATAATTCCATAACTTTACAAAATGTAATGCAAATTAGTTTACATGGACACAAGCAATTACAAAAACTGGCCTGAGTAAAACTTCATTAGCAGCACTTAAATTGTTTTGAACAGTTTTTCCTTAATGGCCTCCTCCTGAGCTTTTTCTGCCTTTAACTTTAACATTTCATTGAATTTCAAGGTTTTTCCTTCATGTCTTCTGTCTCTTGAAGGATTGGAGTTTACAATCCTCATCACACTCTTTTCGGAGTGTCTCTCAAAGGTAATCCACGTCTCGGCAGAGGACGTTCTTCTCAGGCATTCAGCTGCTGCTGTATACACAAATCCATTTTGTTTTGGAGCTTGAAGTTGAACTCCTGAATTATATTTTAAAGGGCCTCTTTTTCTTTTTTCCAGATGTTCAAGTTTAGCTTCAAGCACAGCCTGATGCCTCTGTTTGGACCTTCTCTTCCAAGTAACATGTTTCTTGTTGGAGAACATTGTCTTCCTCAGAGGTTTGGTGCTTCTCTTGGGCACAGACATAATTTTGTGTTTTGTAGGAATGAATCTGGCTCCTGAATTTTACTCTCTTGCTCCATCCGAGAAGCTTTCTCTGCACTCTTAGCCTCGTTCTTTTCAGACACAACTTTAAGGGTCAAGTTATTCTCTTTGCAGCTCATTTTCACACATAATTTTGCCAATATTGCCCTCAAAGATCTTCATATTTTTAATAAATCCCTTCTTAAGAATGCTAAATTGTCATCATCCAGTGAAGGTTAAAGCCAAGGGCAACTGGACTTGGTTGGACTTGGATACTCTATGACCTGGATGACTGAGAATCTTCATAGACATAAATTGTCATCAGTTTTTCGTTCTCAAATAATGTCAAAATCTAAACAAATCAAATCCAGTTGGCTTGTTGAATCACATGTTATCTAACATAGGGTGCAGCTGTTTGCTCATAATATGAAAACTTTACTTAGCCCAATTGAAATTAAATGACATGTTTTTTTGCTGCAGCATAAATGTCTGCTCTGTAAATCTCACGTCCTGTGTTCTCCTTTTGTGAAAAATAGCAGCCTGCTACACAACCAGAGCCATTTCAGTACCATTTGTCCCATTTGAGAATAATGTATATTATATTATTGGAATATTAATTATCAATATCAGTAAAGTGTTATCTTAACCTGCAATAATACATCATGATTTATTTGTTGATGAACTTTGTATTATATTTATTTGTATGAATAATAAAAGGATGGGGAAAAAATGGATGACTAACTCTGGTGCTTTACATAAATAATGATTAAACAGCTTAATTTGGCCAAAACATGGATTTATGCCTGACTCATTTTTCATCCAAACTTTAAAATAAAGGTGGAGCTGCCGCTCACTCCAGTGTTCCCCTAAACATCAGACCCATCAAGATGTTTTTCTGGACCACTGTACTGTTCCCCTGCCTTGTGGCTACTGAGAAGTTCTTTCAACATGCATGTTATGTATGTGTTAATATTAGGTTAGTATTAGTTAGTATCTGTCAAAGCACAGTTGTTCAAATGAACGTCTGTGTAGGTCAACTTCTTTCTTCCCTCTGTTCTCTCAAACAATTCTGTGTCCACACATTTATCTGATGTCATCAGGGACAGTAAACAATTAAAAGGCAACTGAAGTGAATTAACACAAAGTATTCTGTGTGGAGAAGAAACAGAAAAATACAAAAGTATATTTCATTTAGGAGTAAGTCAAACTTTTTAAAGTCTGTTCCTGAGAATAAACTCCCCTCTTGGCTCAGTCAGCTCCCAATGTAAGGTCTTCCAACATTACATTACTTTGTCACGCTTATTCTTAATGTCAAAATACAGTGGACTTTATATTTGAATCTCTCATACTTGTGTCACTAAAAACATTATCACATTATCACTGTTTATTTTCCTGTTTACCATTTACTTTGCTTCAAACATCAACTGTTTTTTTTTGTCATCTGCTTCTGCTCTCCCCTCTTCACCCTGAGATTACTTGTCTTAGATAGATCTTGGCTTAATTTCAGAGAAACAAAAAGGTAGTATGATCGTGTTGTTTTTGCAAGTATTGTCATCCTTATCAGTAACTTTGGGGTGGGTCATTCATAACTGAAATGTCATGGTGGCGTACTTATGTTGTGCAAGATATGGGGGAAAAAAACATTTTTATGTAATGTACTTAGTATCAGATAACAAGATCAGGACTCTACAAACATGCTACTGTAGCAGCTCTGTGTACACGGCACAGCAGTGATGAGGGCTAAATGCTACAATCGGCATGCTAACATGATCATAATAACAATGCTAACATGCTGATGTTTAGCAGGTAAAGTGTTTACTGTGTAAACCATCTTTGTTTTGCGTGTTAAGACGCAGTCTTGTGGGTATTTGGTCAAAACCACAAGAAGACCAACTGGACAAAGAGATATTGGACTAGAGGAAAAAAGTATGGTGATCACCAAACTTAATAAAATTCTGCCTTAGGTGGACACAAATGTCTTTCCAAAATCTAGTCCGTCTAATACAACTACTAATGTCAAACTCATGGTGGTGCTGTAAGAAAAAGTGAGGAGATGATTAAAGTAAAAAGGATTCACCGCGAATGCTGTGAAAACTTTCACCAGCTGTTTACACTACAAGATCAGAGGATCACCAGAGTCATTAGGATTCTGGGGATCAAAAACTTCATGGCAGTAGTTTGTTGCAAAATCTCAAAATAATTGTTGAGATATTTTAGTCTGGACCAAAATTTTACAGTATACAAAAATGAGTGATGTTATCTCCTTCATGAAATAACAAAATATGTTTTACAGTTTTTTTTACTAAATAATCCAAACTGTAAAACATAATAGTACTGTTATGCAAGGGTTCCCAAATGATTCACAAACAGACTGGATGGATGCTGAGCCAGGCTTTAATCAGAGAGATCAGAAAGTCAGAGGACTTGGTGATGCTTAACAGAAGAAGAGTCCAGTCACATGAGCTGTAAATGCTGAGGACGGACAGACGAGTCAAAAAATAGGAAGATATCTCATTAACCTTGTCATACTGTACATAGATAGATGGATTCAACGGTGCCACTTTCCGATGTGACCAGGCACTGAGATGAAGTTGTTAAATGAAAACAAATTATTTTGATACAGTCTTTTAGTATGAAATGAAAAAGTGCATTTTAAGCATAAATAATTTCTTTGTCTCAGTCACAGTGGGTTCATGGGACTGCTGTGCATTCGAGTTCAGGTTCTAATAAAGCTACAGGGACGCACACTGATGTGGTGGGAGGATTGTATTAGAAGCAGAGAATAAAAGATTATTAAAGAATAAGAGTCTACAGCCATGCACAGAGGAGCTTTGAACTAAATGCTCACATCAGCATGCTAACATGCTTACAATGATTATGGTAGCATGTTGATTGTGATTGTGAATTTGCAGGCCCAAACAGAGTCAGAGTTGCATCATCTTTTATGACTAAACGTTGAACTGTTGCCGGTGTTCTGATGATCTATGCTGCCTTGCCGAAAAATGCTACCAGAGCGCAAATCGATAGACTCGATTCTACTCGGCCCTGCTCCGTTTTCCATTGCAGATAGTACCCAGAGATAGTACGTAGCTTGTCGTCATAGCGACACCACACACAACTGCCGCGACATAATGTTCAATGCGACACACACACCACCGATCCACAAACAGCTGTCTCTTGATTTAAGTTAAAATGTTTCAACATTCCTCAGAATGGAAAGACAGATAAGCGGTATGAAAACCTTCCAGCTGTGTTTTCCTCTGCCGTTGTTGCTGCAGCGGTCTGTGCCGGCGGGAGCAGAGGGCTCTGTGAGCGGGCGGCTGGCCGGAGGTGAGGTGATATGAAAAAAAGTACCTGGAAGCAAGTACAGGTCCAACATTTCTACAATGGAAAACCAAACAAGGCGAGTCGAGCCAAAGGGCCTCCGCTCAGACTAGCTTGGTTTGAGGGCGTGCCTGACCCTGCTAGCCGCTTGGCAAGCTTTATGACGCGTTTTCACTGTGACGTCACAAGTAAAGGAAGTGAAGGGCTGCACTACAAACGAGCTGTTTTCAAGCGGTTCAGAGCAGAGCTTTCTGGGGGAGATGGGAACTCCCTTTGGGCTTTTTCACTTTGCAAACCTGTTACATGCACAAAAAAGATATAACTCAATAAAGGAGAGGGGAAAAGACAAAAAGCAGAATACCACCTCTTTAAAGAAATCTGGCTCATCACACGTTAACTTTGTAATCTTTTCTGAAGAACTTATTCTACACCCTGCAGATCAATACAACCTGAATCACAGCGGTCCCGAGAACTTTTCTGCCTCTGTGACTGAACCTGCTGCCCTCAACCTGAAGTGGAGGGCTGGTTGTGACTGGAAACAGGCGGCTGGACATAACAATATTGTGCAATGTTGTTTCTGTCAACACAGCTGGTGCAGCGCACATTGTTACGTCCCCCTCACAACGGAATATGGTGTGCCGATTGACAGCATTCCCCAGCTGGGTAAGGGCTGTAGACCGGTCTGTGTCAGAGAAGTCTGGCGAATTTGTGGGTATGAATAATTTAGTAAAAACAAAAGCATGACCACCCACACGCCTATTGAGCTTGCCCCAGTTCCTGTTAAGTGGACACTGAGGACATGGGGAGGCATAAACATAGAAAAGCAAAAAATTATCTTCAGCATTATGATGGTCGAGCAAGCCTTGCATATTGGCCAAAACACGTAACTCTGCATGATCAGCTCCTTTCAGAAATTTGGCTGCAACCACCCTGTTGCCGATGTACACCTGGTTTTTGTTCATCATATTCCTCACTTTGTTACCAAGATCAGTTTTAAAGACTTGCTGAAGGTTCTGGTCCTGGTTCTGGTTCTGGTTCTGTGGGATCATTACAGCCAAACTGAACATGCCATCAGTTCCGTACCTAAGAAATAGACAAACTAAATGTCAGGTATAACAAATCATGTGATAGCTCATTTCATGCTAAACATATACTGTATTTGTTAATAATTAGAAGTGTGGATCACATTTATTGAAAATATTATTTCATTATCTTTTTGAGACAAGCAGCAAAAAGCTAGCACAGGGGTAAGATTTAAAGGTATTTAGAAACCAGTAATTTAGAGCCGGAATAATTAGTCAATTAATCAATTTGTCCATCGACAGAAAGAGCATCCGGCCCTTTTAACAAATCTATATCAAGGTTGTAAAGACAGAGATTGTTGTGTTTCTCTCAAAATACAGAATTCAGTGAAGGAGGCAGAAGTTAACTTACTTTCCTAAGATGCGATCTACAAATCTAGCAAGGATCTCCGGGGTCACAGCATCCACACTGTTTCCAACAGACAGAACGAAGGCCAGCATCACCGCCATCCAGCACAGACCAGCCATCTGCACACAGATCAGGTTTATTGATTGAGCATTTTATAAAAACAACAGCATCATACAGAGGATTCAAAACAGCTATAATATGTCCGAAGCATGTTGTCTGCAGGTTTTCACACATTATTTCATATATTTTGCACTTCAAATACTACAAATAAAATTAATTAGTAATTGGTTTCTACATTCACACTTAGAGTAACACTAAAACAGAAACAAGCTTTCACCTCTCTGGACATCAGCACATTTAACACAACCAGAGATATTAATAACGCAGCTACCTACAAACTTCAATGTAATAAATACCACGATTCACATTAATTCACTGAAATAGCCCAAAAATCTCAGCTGAATTTCCAGAAATACTGATTTTCTTTAGAAACTGAATGGTTTTTTTTTCCTGGTTTAGTCTGTTTTCATAGGTTTGGTTTTTGGGTTCTGTGTTTCTGTAAGCTTTATTTGATCCTGTCATGTTTAGGGTTTTGTAGCTTAGTTTAGTGTTTTGTTCATTCGCAAGTTTGAGTTTACTTAGTATCAGTCCTGTCTCTTATCTTAGTTCTTAGTCCAGTGCCTTAGCTCATGTCCTAGTGTTACTCCTGTTTGTTTACTTCTGTGTTTGTCATTATTTTGGTTTTGTCTACCTTGTGTTCAGTTTCATCCTAGTCTCTGTCTGTTTCTCTGTTAGGTTGCCTGGGATCACTGTGCCCTATCTGTTCTCGCCTTGTGTCTGTGTCTTAGTCCTTAGTCCTATGTCTCCATGTTAATGTAGTCCTGTTTGGTCCGGGTATCTGTTCCCTTCCCTGGTTTTGTTCTGTTATGCAGTTGTTCCCTGTTTTCTGTTTTACTTTGGTAACTCTGCCCTTGTGTTCCCATATGCTTTACCTTTTATTTTGTAGTGTTTAGTTCTCATGTGTCCTTGTCTAGCTTTGTTTCCTGTTTTGTGATTACCTGATGTTGTAAAAAAAATGTTGTAGTCAATTAGGTACCAGATATTTTTAATACCCCCTGTCTAGATGGTCAGTCAGTTTGCAAATTCAGCCACTAACATGTAGTGCGAGTTTGACATTTCAGAAGATTCACTGGAGTTCTGTACATTTTAGTATTTAGTATAGAATGTTTCTTGTCAGTATTTATAGATTTTAGTATGGTTAAGCTCAGGACAATTTTGGGTCCCAAGATTTAACAATTAAGGTTAAAGAACCCCTGCCTTGAAATTTCTGATTCTATCAGTCATTGATATTGTTTCAGTTCATTCTAATTAAAAACAAAAATTAATTAGGTTTCTTTCCTGACTAATACAAAGTGTTGTATTGACCATTAATTTGACCATTGAAAATACTGGAAAGGTACTTTAATTAGTACTGACAGTTTTTATTTTGAATTCTCACATTTAAATGTACTGCTTGCTGCATGCTATGATGCTTTGGCGTCATCTGGTGGTGCACAATGAACTGCATGAAATGAGTCTGAATTAATACCCAGTTACATTCACTGTTGATCACTTTTTGTCAGCAATCATCAAACAGCTCATAGTCACAGTGATCTGAATCTGACTAAACACATTATACTTTTTCACTAAATTTCAGAGGGAAATATTATACATGTCACTCCACTACAGTTATTTAACATTCACAGTTACTAGTAACTTCAAAACATAAGATCATCTTAGAAATCGATATGGTGCATTGTTACAGATTAAAGGCCCTGCACACCACACAGGTGTCTAACTCATGTGGATGATTATTTCAGAATAACTTTTACTAAACTTATATTTTAATTAGTTTTCTGGTGTTTATAGACCAAACGTCTGTCATATTAATTGTTAGTTAAAGTAATCGTTAGTTGCAGCCCTGATATTCAGTCTGAATCTCATTAGTACCTGCTTTATTGGATATATTTGTAGAATCTTGGAAGAAGCTTTCCTTTCTTTATTACTCAAACAATATTAACATTACTCTATATGCAACTAAACTTCCATGAATCTCAAACCAAAGATTCTTGTAACTCATTACAAGATTACAAAGTAGGTTTAATGGTCAAATTACAACAGGGCTTTGTTTTGTTTGAAGCACCCTGGCCATTTGTGTATGTATCATCAATATAGTACAATACCATTTAGCTTAAAATTACATATACATTTTATTCGAAGTATTCATTCCATACATTATGTGAGTCTGGACGGACCGGATGTAAACTGCAACTTGACTGGTTGGCGGAAGCAAACAACTGTGTGGCATCAATTCTAGTTTTGTATTAACAATAGATCACATTAGAAGTACACTACAACACAGTGTATTACCACATGACTCTGCAATGTGTTGCAGCGTCTTTCAGCTGCTAGTTTAGTACTTTACTGTTCTAGTTTAGTCATCACATCGTTTTCCGCCCCAGCAGGGTGTAGCCTTCAGTGTTTAGCCCGTTTTGTTTGGCACATTTGTTGTATATAAAGTCTGTGATAACGCCCAGACTTGCTGGAGGTGTTACATTTTTCTGTGGTTATTTGTGTGTCTGTAGTGTTCTATCTGAAAAATAACCCTGTTATTATTTCTCAACATAAAAGCAAAGAGAAAATTAATGGCTGACCAGAAATGTGTCAGATAAATCTGAGATAAGATACTGCTTCTGTCATTTACAGAGTGCACTTAAAGAAAGTCACACAAATAAAATGAGCCACTTGTTGAACATCATCAGCTTTTGAAAAAAAGTGGTGTATGTGTGCCAGAGCCATGGAAATAGATTTTAGCCTCAGAGGTGCAGTTTATTTGGATATATTTTAGATTGTGCAGTTTAAATGTGGGGCTTTAACAAAATGTTCAGAGTGGCACCATCCCGTTATATAAAAATTCAAAAATATTCAAAATCTTTCACAGAAAAAACAACGTTTTGTGTCTCTTTGTGGATGTTTGAGTGACTTTCCAAAAGAGACGTCTCTAGGATTAATGAACTAATTAGCAGTGTTGGGCAAGTTACTCAGAAATGGTAATATATTACTTATTACTCCTTAAAAAAGTAGCCTAATAATATTACTTTACTTATTACTGGATGATAAAAGGAAGTAGTTACGTTACAACCCCCGTAGTGTGAACGCCACAAAGACTTCAAGACTCCCGTCACAAGACGGCAAGTTGTGTAGTGTGAACGGCACAGCCATCAGCCGACGCTGAAAGTCGTGTATTCTGCACAAGCATTTAGTTTTTGGCTAACAGCTGACTTGAACAACCGCTGAGCTGCCATAGAGTCGCGCATTCACGTCAAGGACAGTGTGTTCAGTAAGGCAGTAACTTGCTACTTGGATTAGTAACTGTAATAATATCACTGTGTAATAATAAACCTTTTTGAACTGTACTGTACTGTGTGTGTGTGTGTGTGTTTGTGTAGTAACGGTGCTAATGTAAAGATCTCTAGATGAAGAGTCAGCCATTGCCACTCCCGGCTTCTGGAGGCCTTAATGTGGCTGCATTAACTTTTTTGGGAAACAAATTGCGCAAGTTGAGTTATAATTTTCACTTAAACATTGCTAGCTTCCTCTTTAGAATCAAGCTAAAAACAGCCAAGTGAAAATCTTTTACCTTATTTGTTGGAGAGAGATGTCTGATGGATGCTGTCCACTTCTTTAGTTTTCTTCTGTGTTACAAGTGAAGGTCCTGCTGCAGTGAGTTCAGTCAGAAGGAAGGGCTTCTTTATAGAGGAGAGGTTGACCACAGTCAAACCCTCAGAGTGGCACCATGCCCTTATTTGAACATATTTATTTGAACAAAAATCAGGAAGAAGGAAGAAGTTTGATATTAAAAGTTAAAACACAGTAGGTCTTTTCTTGTGAAATGCATTTCAGATTTTACATCTGGACCAAAGGAAACCCAATGAGCACTTACTTATATTCACATTTTAATGCATTTAACATATGTGGTTTAGCTTTTAAATAGCCTGGGTATAACACCACTTTGGGCCAAGCAGTAAACACACATCACTAAATAAATGAATGCATAAAATGCATGCATATGCTTATGTTGTTATATACCAACAAAGGCACACTGACAGACAGAGGAAGCACAGAGGAACATAAATCACTCATCAAAAGATAATGTCACTCCTGAACAAATCAGTCATGTGCAGCATTCAGGTGTGGTAAATTCATGTTTTTACTCACTCTTTTAGCTTTGGTTTGGTCTCCACCAGCTCCAGAGAAATATGTCCTGCTCTTTCACTGCTAAATGCTCCATGCAGGGGACAGACAGATCAGAATGAGAATGCAGAGCCAAGCTTTAATCAGAAAGAACAGTTAATAGAGGATTTGGTAATGCTTTATAGAAGTACTCCGTACAATGACGTAAGTAAATACTGAGGTTTATATAAATTGAACATCCACATTAATTATATAAATAACTTACTATAACATAGGGTAGAATAAGTTCCCCTTCGAGGGAACTCGAACTGCGTCGGTTACGACACTATGGGAACGCCTCTAGGCGAAGCAGGTCTGAACGTGAATGAAATCACTCCAATCCTATTGGCTTGTTGCTAGAACGGTAAGGTGTGACGGAATAACCGGAGGAGTATAAAGCACACCTGTACACACTCATCATTAGCTTTTTTCTATTCAGCAGGCGCTCTGTATGTTGTTTGAAGAAAGCTCCAGTCCTACAAGCAGTATGTCTTGAGAAGAAGTCTACCAGCATGTCCGGCAACCAGAAGTACAGAAGGTGTGTTTTTTTTCTTGCCCTCGGTACATCACGGATGGAGATTCTCATGAGATGTGTGTCTCATGTTTGGGGATGGAGCACGCCCGGGCAGCTCTCGAGGGGGCTGCCTGCGGCCATTGTGAAGCCCTTTCCGTGCGGATACTGAGGTACAGCATTGCTCTCTTTTCCGAGGATGGCCGGATGTGTTTTCCCCGTGGCGTGGGCCCGGCGGCTGCTGAGGCGGCCCGGTGGCTTCACTCATGTGGTTCACAGCGTGATCTGTCGGAGGATTTCGGGACGGCTGAGGCTTTTTCCCGACCTTCATCCGCTGGCTCCGACGCTTCCTTTCCTCGTTCGGGAGCCCGTTCTCGGCTTCTCCCGCTCGCGGTTTGGATCCGGAGACGCTGCAGCAACGTGCTCAGCGTAGTGGACGATGACTTCCGGGTGTCGGGGCGGCGTCATCTGGCGGCGCCCGACTATGACGTGCTGCTGGAGGTGGTGACTAGAGCCGTGGCTAAGCTCAACATCAACTGGCCAAAGGAGGAGCAGACACCACAGGCTAGTGGTAAGCTTGATGAAAGGTTTCTTAAGCACCACGCGCCACCTCCAGGCCGGTCTCTGCCATTCTTTCCCGATTTTCATGATGAACTGAGTAATCATGGGGCAGACCCTTCTCCACATGGCTTTCCACACCCCGATCACTGAACTACAGTAATATGATGGGGGTTGGGGACTGTGGTTATGGGAGGATGCCTCGGGTGGAGGATGCGCTTGCGAGCTATCTCCCTGGAGAAGCCGGCGTACCATCCAAACCATGTCGCACCACATTTACACTCGTGGGGAAGGCGTACATGGCAGCGGGCCAGGCAGGTGCGAGCTTGCACACCATGGCGGTGCTTCAAGCCTACCAAGCCGACCTGCTACAGGAGATGGTTCAGAGGGGGGTCCCTCTGAGGAAGATCTGGTGGAGCTTTGCAGAACCACGGAGAGTTAGACGCAGGGCGAAGCGTTCCGCCAGTACCTCCCTCGCCGGTCTGGACCCAAGGCAGCTGAGGCTGCCAGGCGTAGGTCCCTTCCCTCTACGAGCTCCTACGGAGAGGAGAGGAAGCAGAGTGTCGCTTCTTGGGGGCCCCCCCGAGGAGCTGGGGCAGCGAGACGGCGCTCTCGCCCTCAGCCGTCTGAGAGACGCGATCTGAGGACCGTCATCCAGTCCCGACGGAGCTCAGGGAAGACCGGGGTAGGGGAGTCTTTCTCCCTTCCCGCACCCCCCCGGAGGCCGACCAAGGTCTCCTCCGCCGTGGCAACAGGTGATGTTATCCCGCCGTTTACATGTTCAGGACGCACCTGCCACCATCGAGTCCACGCCGTACTGCCTGCCCCGAGGGTCTGCAGTCAGGCGGTGTCCCGACTCACTCACCGTGGATCTTCGGCGGCTCCCCCTGCCGTTCTGGGGCTTCAGGGGTCCACCAGAAGATCACACGAGACACCGACCACCAGCCCCGAGGGGCTGGTTCCGTTGGCAGACTTTGCAGAGGCTTGGCGGAGCCTGACGAACATTTCTCCGTGGGTCCTGCGCACTGCCATAGATGGGTATCGACTACAGTTCAAAACCCGCCCTCCAAATTCAACAGAAGAGAGGGGGTGGTTTGGACTGTGGTCCGCCCGGAGCAAGGTCCGGTGTTGGGACAGGAAGTTCGTACTCTGCTGAGGAAAGGGGCCGTGGAACATGTCTCCCCCCCAGACAGAGACGCCGGTTCTACAGCCTGTACTTCATAGTCCCCAAGAAGGACGGAGGGCTGCGTGCCCTATTTTGGATCTGCGGGTTCTAACCGGTCTCTGAGGAGATTCAGGTTCAAGATGCTCATCATCCCCGCCATCGTGACGCGGGGATGATGGCCCCGCTGAGGCTCCAGGGCATCCGGATTTCAACTTCATCGACGACTGGCTCATCCTAGCCCAGTCTCGAGAGTTGGCGGTTCGACATCGAGATGTCGTTCTGGCTCATCTGCGGCGTTTAGGGCTGAGCATCAGCTGCTGGCTAACACGCCGACACGCCGACAGCCAATGGTACTTCTACACTATAAACAAAGGTGCTCTGTTTACTTCGTTCTGTTTGGGGGAGAACAGTTTCACGGGCGTGGAGAGGTCAGATCTTTTCTATGTAATTTGACTAAAGTCTTTGTACTTGAACTAGGATTATTAAAGTACCTCTTACCCCTGCCATGGCCACACTCATCCTTTCCCCATTAATGTTTCCTTCTCAGATTATTTCCCACCCTTTTTAAATCTGGCATCTTATTTCCTCGACCTGCAGCTCTTGGTGTGCAGCTCTGTGAGCGTCTCCCTAGCAGTCAGCCTTGGTAGTGGCTGCAGTATTACAGCAGGTCAGTCGCAAACACTCAACAATCTTTTTATGTTTACATAATTGTTTAATCAGCTAATATATATCCTATAGTTGTTTTAATATCTGTAGTCACAGATCACCTCCAGTAGTATCAGCAACAACACAACAGCAGCACAACAGAACTTTACTTAAGTACAATTTTGATTAAAATGATGAGCTACTACTCCACTACATTTCAGAAGGACATATTGTAGCCAACTTTTTACTCCACCACAATTATTTCACAACTTTTTCCAACTTACTAGTTAGTTTGATTTTACAAGATTAAGTTATAAAAAAATATAATGCATTACGGCTTTACATCATGTGGCTGATTATTTTACAGTACAAAATATCTTTCAGGATGGGAGAGGCTCCATAATTTACCACTCTGAAAGGGATCATTAGGTTGAATGGGCAGCCCACTTTTACTTTGGATACTTTAAGTAGCTTACATTTTGCTGGTAATAATATTTTTTCGACACAAGTAGATCTGTTGAAATTTTAATTCTTTATTTGAGTATTTTTGGGGCCAGTAGTCTACTTTGAGCTAAGCTACATTTGCCATTTCTACCTTTGTTACAAAAAGTCTGTTATCTCTCTGCATTTTGCTGCATTAACCCAAATGAGCTGTCATCCAAGCTGTGCGTAGCTACGCAGGAGAGCTTTCCTCAGTGCGATTGTGCCAGATATTAATGAATTGGACAGATGCAAGCATTTAAAAATCAGGCAAATACCTTTTGGATTTAAGGTTTGGTTCTGCTTATATAACTCAAATCCAGTAACTGCACATTCTGCCACCAGTGGCTGCATGTGTTGGAATCAGTCTACATCATCCTTTCACAAACCAGCAGAAATAATTTCACAAAACAAAAGTAGGCTTCACACTGTATACGCATCTACGTCATCTGCAGTTATTTATTCAGGAAAAAATAATTCATCTGTTCAAGGAAAAAAGTAAATGTGGCTGGATAAAACAGGTCTGTTGGGCTTTACCCGTGATGCTTCATTCAACAATGGACTGCTTGCGTGCTATTGCCACAATATTTTTTAGGTTAAGATTAGGTTCATAGATGCTTTAGAAATAATTTTGGGCTGAGCTATTGGAGATTTGCAGCGCAAATAATATGAAAGAAAGTGGTTTGGTTGGCTATAGCCTTTCCATGTCAAGATAACAAGAGATAAAGACAACAATAGGCAAGGCAGCTCCCTGCTGTGATATTTAAAGTGATCTTATTGATAACTTTATATAGATTAGAGTAAACGTATTGCATCAAACAGAAAAAGCTAGAGATCAACATGCCGGTGCCCCTGTAACATAGACCTTGGACCCCCCTATGCCCCCCTGCTGAACGAAAAGTCTATAGTAGCCACATCCGCTGAAGCAACCTCCATGTGGCCCAGCACATAATCTAATAGATATGACACAAAGCAAACTACATGTATAGTGAATGGAAGTCGCCATTTGAGTTTCACATGCGCTGTATCGATCACCGCCAATCAAGGCTCAACATAAACCTGCAGCCTCTCCCCTCCTCTATGTCTGCAGAGCCAGCCAGCTGATCAGCGGACATTGACGACAACTGCGCTGGTTAGTATGTACATGGTGCAATAAAGACTTAGCCAGTAAAAAGCCAATTCTTTACCAAC